TAATTGGGGTAGGAGTGTCAGAGACAGTTTGACTGGCACAGGACAGAGCAGAGTTTAGGGCTGTTGTACACAGGGTCACTATGAGTCACAAGTGACTCGATGGTACATAACAACAATAACAACCATCAAATACAATGAAAAGGTATCAAATCATCTGTCCACACTTGGTTACAACAGTCTTTATTTGGTTTTGATGAGTAAAATTGACTCAAGCAGCTCTTAAGCTCTTAACCAAGGCAGAGGCATCTCTTTCAGTTCAGAAATTTCAGTTCTTCTCTCAGGTGGGGTCTTCTTAGGATTCCATGTACTGTTTACAGCCTTGGCGATTCTGAAGATAGCTCAATTTTAAAATAAGAACACAGACGAACACTTATCCTTCCAGTGCTGGAACAACCTTATCTGTGTCAAATCTTCTATTTCATAGATGGTTGTTACTACACAGACTGTTGTTGTTAGGTTCAATATGTCAGTTTTGACTCATCGTGACCCTATGTCCATCAAATGGAAACAATGCAAAATCATGTCCCATCCTCACAATTTCTGCTGCACTTAAGGCCATTGTGCCAGCCACCATGTTATTCTTTTCTTGATGGCAGGCTCATTTTCCATGTCAGCTAACAGAAATGAACACTGTAATAGAATAGGCGAAGGAAAGAGCTACCTGGAATGAATGAATGAACACCCAAAATGAGTAATGCAATTAAAAACTGGGAACTGGAATGCGTAACTGACTGAATGGGGAGGAGAAAGAAAATAAGGAGGTAGATTCCAGACTAGCACAGACTAGTGTGGGTAAGGAGAGAGTAAAGGAAAATGAAAGGTCTGTGAGGATATGATGAAGCATTGTAGTAAAGAGGACTGGTCAACCAATTAATGTTCCAAAACAAAATTAATATGAATAAGTGCACAAAAATATTTTTTTTAAAAAACCCTGGACTTCCCCATCAACAAATGAATGGATAGAGAAGCTGTGGTATATTCACACAATGGAATACTAGACAGCATTGAAAAACAAGGAACTCATGAAATATTATGCAAAATGGATGACCCAAGAGGACATTATGGTGAGTGAAATAAATCAGTCACAAAAGGACAAATATTGCATAGTGCCACTGTTGTAAAACGAGACTGACATCAGGGTTGAGGGAAGACAGAAAAGGAGGGGAGGAATTATGTAGATTGCATTGAAACATATGAGGGAGAAAACTGTTTAAAAGGGATATATGAATGGGTATTCTTGCCATTACAGAAGTCCAGAGTGAAGGTTGCATAGTGGAGTGGACTTGGGGGGAGAAGGACTGCATAATAATGAAAGAGTTTTCCTTTCTTTTCAAGGAGAAGAATTAATTGGGGGGGGAGGGGATGGGTAGGGAGAAAAGTGCAACAATGAATGACTGGAAGCTCTAAGTCTCTGTAAAGTTTCATTAAAATTCATTTTGGAAAAAAAATTCTGGATTTACAACATAAGGCAAGGAAGTAAGGTTTGTGACCTTGGTCTTGGATATTCACCTTTGTCTTCTGTCACTCTGGGGCCTTGGCTGAACCAGGGCTACCCTGTCAGGTACTCTGATGCATAAAGATAAACAGAGACCTCCACGTCCCTAAACTCAGGCCAAGCACAAATGCAACACAGCCTTCATGAAATGGACTGTCACCAAACAGAGCCACACATATGATTGGATAAAAATAATCCTAAAGAAGAATTACATGTGGTAGCATTTAAAGGCAAAGATCCAGAACCAGAACTCTGGGCTTCAACCTGGACACTAACCCTGGATCTGGGAGAAGACAGAAGGAATTGAGAAGGGAAGACAGTCAACTCCTGAAATCTCTACTGTCAAATAGTGCCTCTTCTGATACAAATCTAATAATCTGTGTGAGATTGGTTATTATGGGCACCTAACAACTACTTTTGTTAGCTAATGGCCCAAGGTGAGGCCAAGAGCAGTTTCCACTGTAATAACTGTCTGGTAAATGCAGCCATGATTGATTTGGAGGGAATTATGAGCACGATAAAAGTTTCAAGGAACATTTCCTCCTTCATGCACATAACCCACAGGATAAACCTGTCCCTTTCTGTTGTGTGCATGTGTATGTGTGTGGTTTTGAAGAGATACTGGTCTTCCCACCCTGTAGGCAATACTCTTGGCAGAAGCAGGGATGTGGGTGGGGCAGATTCTTGAAATAGCAAAAAGAAAAGTTCCTTTTCTTTTATTGTCTTCCGCTCTAAATGCTCCAGAAGCATCAGGCAGAATGTTAATAGGAACTACATATTAATTATTATAATAAGAGGTAGCATTCATCACGTGCCAAGCTGGAAATAAGAAGTAGGGAGGGCACTGCACAGGAAAGAGTTAATATAGCAGGCCTGAAAATGCTAACTTCAGAGAAGCCTACAAAGTTGGCCTCTGGCTGGAGGCTGAGAACTAAGCACTCCAGTGTTCTCAGTAAATGGGTAACTGGCAAGTGAGCAGATAAGGGAGGCTCACTGGGACTAGATCTACATGGTTTATGCTTAATACCCATTTTCCTTCTGAAAGTCTACATTTTGGTACATGCTAAGCAGAGGATCCTTATGAGACAACCTCTTATAAAAAGAAGAAAAACAAAACCGTGAGCATTGTTTTGTCTCAAAGGTGCTGCCCAGGCAAACATCATTTCAAATGTGTTTTCCACTCCCATACTGGAAGAACTTAGCATCTCCTGTGTGACTCGATGACAGGAAGACTCTTAAAAGTCTGTGCCTGGTCTTGTCTGTAGTTCATCCCAGGAGTCTTTTTCATCCCCCCCCCAACCCCACCCCTTTTACTCTGCATCCTTTTTCTGGAATAGATCACAGTCACAAATACAACCACATACGGAATCCTCTGAGTCCTCCTAGTGGATCACAGAACCCAGGTGATTCTGTGCATGTACACACACACACACACACACACACACACAGAGGAACCAATTCAATCCTCACAAAAATTCAATTCCTTTAAGCTAAAATTGAAAGGTGAGGAATCAGAGGATTGCAAACACTAAGAATACGGACCAATACCAAACCTTTAGCCAAATGATGTGTTCAGAATCCAAAGACAAGTTTACCATGTTCTAAAACACCTTGCCAATGGCTCACCTAGGTGTCTGATGGACGCTGATGGCACACAATGACTGTAGTGGCTGTGGTGTGGTGTGGTGACCACCACCTTACCTCCTCCTGTCAAGATGTAAACATGACAAGAACAAGGGCATATCTGTATTACTGTCTCCCCAGTGTTCAGCCAGATTCTTGCTCCAGATTAAGAGTTGAGTCAATATTTCTGAGAAAATTAGTGAGTGAATAATATCTGGGGTATTCCAGTGATAGTTCTTTTCTTATTGTCACAAGACCCATGTAAGATACGCCACAAATGAGCCATCTTATAAATGGGGACGCAGACAAGAAGTATTATCTCACAGTGATGAAGCCTAGGACCTTTAGGGGACACAGCTAACCCCTCCATATGTGTCCCCTACTGCTGTTGGCTTCTGCACTACTCTTCAACCAGCGAGCTAAGACACGCCTGCTGTTTGCAGGGGCCTCTTCTTGTGGGGAGTTTCTATAGTGAAGTTTAAACATTGAGTTGATAATAGAGAAAAGATGCTCCAAGTATTCATTTATACCTTAAAAAAGAATTTTGCCATACAGAATGTTGTTGTTGTTGTTGTTAAGTGGCGTCAAGTCGTAGGCAACTCACAACGACCCTATGAATGAAAGTCCTCGACACTTGTGTGCATGAGTTTCATCCTTTCTCCAGGTTCATAGGATTTCCAGAGGCAAGCTATTTACAGAAGTGGATGCCACTCCTGCTTCCAAGCTTGTTTGAACCAGGGAGCACCCCAAACACTGTCTGCCATGGGTAACCGTTATCACATTTGACACATCAGTGTCACAGTGTTCAGCTTCACAGGGACCACAAGTTACCTCTGTACAGCAAGTGGACACACCAGGGCTATACGACCTAGAAAAGTATTTTAACAAAAACAATGAAAAACAGGCCTTAGGGTCATGGTTTAGAGTCACCCACCTTTGGCTTGGCAGTATCACTTTCGGTCCACTAGGCCAACTGGTCTCTCTCTGTGTTGTTAAGTGCCATCAAGTCATAGGCAACTCATAGCAACTCTATGAATGAAAGTCCTCGACACCTGCATGACTTTCATCCTTTCTCAGTATTCACAGGGTTTCTGCAGGCAAGCTATTTATGGAAGCGGATGCCACTCCTGCTTCCAAATTCAGATTAAAAAGGGAAAAAATCATTTTGGAGTATATAAAGATCCATAAGTGTCACCCAGAGAAACTGATGTTGTTAATTACCATGGAGCGGCCCTGCCTATCCTGTGGCTCATGGTGACTCTGTGTACAGTGGAATGAAATGTTCCCTGATCCTTGATCATTCCCTGGATAGCAGTTGTAGGTTGAGCCATTGTAATGCATGAGGATATTCACTGGCTGATCTTCAAAAGGAAATAGTCTTCCTCTTAGTATGTCTTAGTCTGTAAATTCCATCAAAACCTGTTTACCACCCTATAACAGGCGTGCCTTCACTAACAGAACTGTAGTGACTGTGCATAAGATAGACTTCCAGGAGGCAGCCCTACGTACCACACGTGGAAGGCAAGAATTCTGTACTTCTACTACCAGTGCCCTCAAAGGAGATGCTATCAACCCCAGAACAAAACTTTCTTGGACCACCATCCTGAAAGCATTACACGCACTTCAATTTAAAGAAATTAAGTAACAAGATAGCAAATATACCAAATGTATCTAGTTCAAGCAGCCTCCAGGTTACAAGTATCCAGCATACAGACAACCTCAATCTTACTCTGAACTGATTTCAACCAATGCTTCCATAGCTAAACAGAAACAGACCTGCATTTTTACAATGTATGTGATTTATCATGGTCATCAGAATGGGGAAAATGACAGATTGAAGCTCTGGAGAAATGGATACGTGGAAGAGGCACAGAGAGCTCCTTCAGGAACCTGATGCCATGAGATTGGATTATGGGCAGGACCATGGACAGCTACAAGAATCCAGAGTAGAGTAACTGGCCACTATCTTTTAGTGAGACAGTACCGTTTCAGTCCAAAATCTGTTTTATGCTTATGCAAACCTGCCCTCACATGGAAATGATTGAACAAATCCCTACCTCCCTACTCACAACAAATTCTCCATCACCTTCAAATACTAAATGTGTCACTTTTAAGGTACTGAAAAGGTAAAGAATACATGCAACAATGAATGAATATTTAAAAGAAAAGTGAACAGGAGGAGGGGGGGCAGGGGAAATGTGCAACAATGAATGAAAATCCAACATTTCTGTAAACTGTCATTGAAATCACAATTAAAAGGGAGCTCTGGTGGCCTAGTGACAAGAAACTGCACTGCAATCCTATCCCAGAGGTATATAGTTCGAGTCCACCAGATTCTCTGCTGGAGAAGGAGGGACAATCTCCTCCTGTACCAGTCAGATCTAATTTATTTGATGGTACACAAAAAACTTAATAAAATGAAATTTTAAAAATCACAATTAAAATAAAAACATTTTAAAAAATAAATGGCAAATAATAACCATACCCACCTGCTCTAACTGATCTAGAAATTCTTGGACAAAGCTAGATAGGATCTTTTTCATAACCCAGGGACTGCTTGTATAACCAAAATATTACAGAACTTCAGCTGTTGTTTTAATCCATGTCAAGCAACAGCTGCTATTAATGAAATAAATTCCAGTGCAAAAGTTTTAAAGGACAAATTAAATATTGACGATATTTTAGAATTGTTTACAACAGGAAATGAACTTGTAGAAACACTGAATGTAAAAATTAAGATCTTTTGTGTCTTTAGTTCTGAATTTTTAAAAAAATCTAAGCATGTGTTGCTTTAATTTGTTTTTGGCTCCTCCAGCAGAGATAAGAGTTTACTTTGATTTGTATCTGCTTTCACTCATAATGGTTAGAAAATGAGCCTGAGGCCATTACCTGATGGGTTTCCTGGTCTAGTTTCAGGAGTTTCCGAAGCTCAGGGAAGGTGCTTTCACATGAATACTTATCTGCGTGTGCACACTTACTTCACAGCAGAGGAGAGGTGAAGCAGAGGCAGCAGTTGGTAATGCACTACCCAAGCTTCCAAAATAATAGACTAACTTCAGGATTATGAACTAAGAAACACAGATAAGTTTGTTTTAGATGCATCGATCTTTGCATCCAGGTCACAGCGGTGGCCAGTGGACCCACTGACTCAGCTCTGAATTCCAGGGCCTTTGGTAAGAATGAGTTATCCCCTGAAAGGAAAGGATAAAAGGAACTTGGGCTACTTACAAACCACGTGTAGGAAGAGGACAGCTGTGTCTGAGCCCAGGCTGTTCTCGGCGTACGCTGTCACCTGGAAGATCCCGGCACTCTTGTACACATGCTTGATGCCGTCCTCAATGGGACTGAAATTAGCATAGGACACGGCAATTCCATCCCCAAAGTCAAGCTGGATATTTGTCCTTTGGAGGTCACCCTGTAAGGGGGAGAAGAAGTTGGGGGGCAAGGAGGACATTCAGATGGTTCATCCTGAGTTCAATACTTCCTCCTGTAGCCTCAACATGACCTTGAGCCTCTGCAATCTCATCAAGGAAGTTGAACTCTCTCAATACAATCAACAAACTATAGTGATCCATAGACACAAAAGTCTATTGTCCTTGTATGTCTGAGTTCAGAGGGAAGTTGACTGGAGGTAACAGTGACAACAGAGGGTAAAGAGGAGCCTCTTTGAAGCTCTGAAGCAGGAGAACAGTATAGGCTTCCTTGATTTCTTCACACACATGGCTTTCTTCTTATTCTTTGGCATCAATATTATCTTCATGTTAATAGCTAACCCTTACCACAGGCTCTTAACAGTACCCAGAACAACTTTAAATAGTATTAAGACCTATTTTAAAAGTTGTTGTTGTTGTTGTCATGTGCCGTCGAGTCGTTTGCGACTCATAGCGACCCTATGTACAACAGCCCTAAACCCTGCTCTATCCTGTGCCAATCAGACACAGAAATAAAATAGGGATATAGGGGAGCTCTGGTGACCAACTGGCAAGAAGCTGAGCTGCAATACACATGGTTCAAGGCCACCACCAGCTGTTCCAGGGGAGAAGGATGGGAAATCTCCTCCCATGTGATTAACTGCCTCTGAAAACCCGTCGGAGGGTCAGCTATGGGTTGGTGCAGACTCTACGGTGCACAACAACAACAATAGTACCTACAGTACTAGGAACATAGCACATATAGAAAATAGCAGGGACACAGAACAAAATCTTACACAGTGGAGGCATATTAGATTCAATGCTTTGAATCTAATACGGTTCCAATAGTACCGCTCTTACATGTTTCTCTTTGTTTAAATACACATTTACTGTTATGCTCCCAGAATCATCTCAACCACCGAACCCCTCTCATACCATGTCCTCTTCAAAAGAACCCTGTGAAGTAGGATGAGTACTGTCATTTTACACATGAATATTACATATTAGCTAAAATGATACCTTTACTCTGTTGTCTTAGTCTTTCTTTAAATCTAACTGATTCCTCTTTCTTCTGAAGCCTTTTCTGAAAAATCCAAGCTCCCAGAGATCTGTTTTTATGAAGGCCAAGTGAGACTCTCTAATCTGGACTCTGACTGGTCAGATGTGATTTCAATGGTTCACATGCATGTAGGTATGTATCTTACCACTTCAAGCATATTCTTGACTTTTATGGACCAATGTTGAGCCCCATATTTTTTTGGTCTCTACCATCCCTCCCACGAGGTAACTCATGGGTGCTGTGAAGCCGAACACTGTGACACTGATGAGTCAAATGTGAGAATGGTTACCCATGGTGGACAGTGTTTGGTGAAGCTCTCCAATTAAAACAAGCTTGGAAGCAGGAGTGGCATCCACTTCCACAATAGCTTGCCTCAGGAAATCCTATGAACCTGGAGAAAGGATGAAAGTTATACAGGAGGTGTCCAGGACTTTTGTTCATAGGGTTGCTATGAGTTGCCTGCAACTTGACGGCACTTAACAACAACAACAACAACAACAACAACAACCATCCCACTGTCTAAGTCAACATGCTGGGAAACTGCAATGAACTAGTCTAAGAAGAAGAATCCTCAATGGAAAAGAAGAATTGGCTGCCTACTTATATAAAAAGACAACTGCTGATATAAAGGGAGAAAGCCAGCCTTTCGGAACTACAAGGCAATCCTCTGCCTGGTGACGATGCATTGATCACCATTTCTCTTCCTGTCTCTTTCCTCCATAGTAACCTAGATGTGAATAAAATATTGATAGGTGCTCCCTTGCTCCCCTATAATGTCAACTGTCCTTGAGTTTATGAATATAAATTAAAGTGGAAATGAACTGAAGGCAATTCAAATGGATAAGATCATGGCTCTTCACATCCATTCAAGGGAAAGTTTTTATAGCTCTGCTCCTGTAAACTCCCTAGTGAAAATGTGATAATGACTTCCTCTGAATCTTAAAGGCCTTTAATTCCAGCACCCAGTGTAGTTGAAGGCTGAGGAATCTGTCAACCCCAGAAAAGAAGCCTTCACAGTCCTGGCTATTAAAGTTTTCTCAACTACTCATACTTGGGAGGAAACTTCCAGGCCAGCTCTGGCTTCTTCCCAAGATCTAAAGAACACAGGACCATCTGCATACACAGGTAAAGGACTTTGAAAAGCCAGCCCACCATCTTACTGCACTAGCTCTGCCAGGGGTGTGTGTCAAGTCTCTTGCTGTGGACGAGAAGAGATGGCTCCTACCAGAAGCAAGAAACAGACAAAGGTCCTTGATGAATGAGTGCAGTCTGCTTTTACTGTTTGGATTGATCAATTCAGAGAGAATCTGGTGGTCCACTGGTAATGAGTGGTGCAGCCAAACCAAAGCCAGGTGGTTCGACTGCACCAGCTGCACTGATGGAAACAGATGGGCAATCTCCTCCTGTGCCGTCGAAAGCCTCTGAAAACCCACTGAAGGGTCAACTGTGAATCACTTCTCACTTGATGGCACCTAACAACAACAACAAGAGAGCATGTGGCTGGTGGGAGGGCCACTAATATGGCATTCTTTGTAAAGAGAAATGTAAAAGAATTTTAGAAAATCTTCCTTATCCTCCACACTCATTCTTCCAAAGTCCTTTCAAAGCCTTACAGATTTCTCCTATCAGTGGGGTTAAGGATTAGACTTAAGCGGAAGAGGCTCTTGACGGCAACGCATAAAAGTAAAAATCCTTTCATCTAGCAAAGCTTATCAATGCCCAGGCTGATGATGCCAAAAACTTCTTAGCAAAGCAGGCTCCAAAGAGGGGCACCAAAGAATATACCCAGATACGCTCTAACCATAAACAAATGGAGCCCAATCTTTATTACAGGGTGAAGGCACGGGGTCTCTAAATATCCCGAGCCAGCTTCCGCCCCTTCTCTCATCATTCGAGTTGATGTTATCCAGTGTCCTCAGGCCACTCTCGGATCTCTTCCCCCACCACATAGAACCCTTACTATGTTATTTTCAATTTTAAGCATAGACCAACACATAACAAATATTACGTACACTGCTTAACTGTGATAGTTCTTGGGCGACAGAATAGCGAACAAAATTGTTTTGTAAAATCTTTACGTTTGGGTACATTAGTTGTCACTAATTCGTTATCACTTCCAAGAGGAAGCTATTTTTCCTTTTTTTATCTCTTTTTTGTTAATGACTACTTAATTCTTAAAAAAAAAATAAAAAAGGCTATTGGCATAGGTACACAAATGCTAATTAGGACCATATTACCAGAACATTTGACAAAACAAATACAAAAACATTGAAAGCAATGAAAACAATAATAGCATGTGCTTGTACTGTGTGCACATGAAACCATGTGGCTTGAAGCATCTTTGTAATTGGGGTGACAACATCAACTCCAGTCTGAGTGCATTGGAACATTCTAAAATTCAATCAGCATAGAGTTTTTTGGGTTTTTTTTTATTTTATTTTAAATTTTTTAAAAAATTTATTTTATTTCATTATTTTTTGTGTGTACCGTCAAATCAGATCTGACTGGTACAAGAGGAGATTGTTCCTCCTCCAGCAGAGCATCTGGTGGATTCGAACCGTGCATCTCTGAGATTGCAGTTGCAGCTTCTTGACACTAGGCCACCAGAGCTCGCCAGCATAGAGTTTTGAGCCTTGTAGGTATGCTTGCAAGTCAGTTCTGCCTCACAGTGACCCTGCATCAGGTTTCTGAGACTAGAACCCCTTTCTTTATAAGAGGAGACTGAAAAACTTTCTCCCTATCAACAATAGCTGATGAATTCAAATTCCCAACTTCATGGTCAGCATCCCGTTTGTTACGCACTATGCCATCAGAGACACATGTAAGCTGGCCATTAAACACACATTTTTGTTGTTATAATTAACCACACTAATATTTCCATTAAAAAAATCAAATATATTTCTACTGAAAGACTTCCGGGAAATTTTACAGACAGTCATTTTGGGGTTGTTTCCCATCCCTGCCTGTGTCACTCAGTATAGTATATACTCACTGTACCCCCTTCTTATGTCCCTGAGCCCCGAGATGCCCCCACTCCTTTAATTAACTTTAATACAGGAGTCCATAAAATTGTGACTCTTTCCTTTCTTCTCCTCCTGGGAACTGGGATAACTTCCTGTTTGGGAGTTCTGACCTAGCCAATCCAGGCTGCCACCTACCTCTTCCATGAGGATGATGAACGTGGCGTTGTGTCCCTGCTCAGCCACCAGCCGCCCATCAGTTGTCACCACGTGGAGGCCTCGAGGGGCTTTCCCAGGGCACATCTGAGCCTTGGCAGTGTACTTCTCCCTCAGTCCGTCTGTGCAGTTGTTGGACACGATTCTGCGATACCTAGGGAGTATTGACAACCTTCAGTGTAGCTTGGTCTGTGCTGCTGGCAGGGGTGTGGTGGTGGTGGGGTGTGTGTGTGTGTGTGTGTGTGTGTGTGTGTGTGTGTGTGTGTGTGTGTGTGTACCGGGAAGACAGGTTCAAGAGAGCAAGACAAAGCCACTTCTTGGAGCAGCTCCTAAAAGGTGCATCTCCAAGAAACCAGCCATTTGAGAAGCTAAACAAATGCTGGAGAACTGCTATCCTTCCATCTCAAGAAGAGTATTTCCTTAAACATGATTATCGATCCTACCTGGTGAGCCACAGATAGGATCAGTGTCTAAACAAGCCAAGCCAAATCAATGGCTGATGCACACACAACAAAGGAGGCGGAGGAGCCCCCACTGAGCTGGGCAGGCAGAGAAGCAGGTGCAGCTCTGCGAGGGAGGGATGTGCTTCCAGTGCCCCCCACCCCTCACCCCCAGGCCACCTCTTGCTTTCTCTGTAGCAGGTAAGAACTAAGACAACAGCCTTCTCACTCTAACTGGTCAGGGACCTCCTCCTGCCTTCCCTTCATCCCCAAGACATCATTCCATCCCCTAATCCTTGGGAGTCCTCTCTCTGGAGTCCCTGGGCTATTTTACAGCATGTTTTCTCCTCCTTGTCAATATTTCATATTACTTCCTGCTCTGAGAAAATAAGCCACGATCCCTTTCCAGAAGTGAAGGGCTGGGCACAACAGCTACTGCTGACTATCTGAGGTTAGTGGGAAAAGGCTATGATTCATCCAGCAGAAATCACCTCTGATGTTCTTTGAGAAGGCATCCCCGGTAAAGAACCTTTCAGCTTTCCTCAGAAGGGAAGTCATTTGTCATAACTGAGCTCTATTCAGTCTCCATTATTTTCAGTAGCTACATATTCCCTTTTATCCCCATCTGAGAAACAGGAACACAAGGGGGTGAGTGCTTTTATTGTTTTACTCACCCAGTGCTGTTTAGGTAGCTCTGCCCAAGGCTGCAGTCCTTTGACGGGGATGCTGGATTATACCAGAAAGCTGGGACGCACTGGCTCTCCCCATGTCTCTCATAGCCATAGTCACTGTCAGGAAAAGCAACATCCCACAGCAGGACATAAACACAAATGAAAGGGGAGGGGGGGAACCAAACCAAAATGCTAAATACGGTTCAAACATACCCATACCTCTGTAATTAAGTACCTGAAAAATCACAACACAATCCTTTAAATACTCCCAGTATGAGAAAATAATCACATTTTCAGGTTAGATTTTTAGCATTATAAATAATCTATTATCATCTAGAGTCTAGGAGATAGAAAAAGTAGGACTCTTCTAGGTTAAAAACAGCAAGTTTCAGGTTAAAAAAGATATGACTATAAATAGTGTGGTGGAACACTGCCTCAGGATAGGGATGGAAGCTATAATCTGAGCCTGTTTTGGATTATAGCGGCATATTGAAAAAAATAAATGGCAACTGAGAGGAGACCTCAAATAGTATATTACATTGGGCAAATGTGCTGCAAAGGATCTCCTTAAAGGTTTACCAAATGAGGATGTCACTTGGGTGACTAAGGTGAGCCTGACTGCAGATGCTTACAAAAGTTGGACAACAAAAAAAGAAGACAGAATCTCAATTCTCAATAGATGCCTGTGGAGTGCAAGTGAGAGTTCTTGTGGTTTGTTCCATGAATAGTTGGAACTCAAGACTATCATAGGTCCTTATTTAAGTACAACTGAAAGGGAGCTAGAATTCTTGTGGATTGTTACTTTGAAACTCAGGTCTATCTCAAGACTATCATATGACCATATTTAAGTAAAACTGAAAGGGAGGAAGGAAGGAATGGAAGAAGGCAGGGAGATATGAAGGGAGAGAGAAAAGGAGAAAGTTTTTGCCCACTTAGCTCTTTGCAAAAACTAGATCAAGTGCTGGAATTCATCCAGCCTTAGAGTTCATGTGGACTTGGCTATATGCTAATTTGAATCAAAGAGATTGTTAATATAAAATCTTGTACGTCAATTATTTAACACAATTATTAGTAAAAACTAATTTCTATAGAATTTTAATTATATTAAAGAGATTATAATAAGTACTCGATACATTGGATTCTGAGTATTTACTACATTTTATTCCCTCATTGTTAGTGTCATTATTTATACCAGTATGTTTGTATAGTAACCAGTTTTCCTCAAGTGAATGCTGATTTACGGTGACCTTATATCTGTCACCATACTGCATTGACAAAATCTGATGTCAAGGATTTCACCAAAGTACTGAGGAGCAATGATGTTGGTTGGAAGACTAAAGTACATCTGATTCAAGTCATAGGCTTTTAAATCACTTGCTATGTATCTGAGAGCTGGGTAATGAGTAAGGATGACAGAAGAATCAATGCCCTTGAGCTGTGGTGTTAGAGAAGAGTACTGAATATTCCATGGGCTGTTAGAGAAGAGTACTGAATATTCCATGGGCTGACAGAAAGACAAAGAGATATGTCATGGAGAAGGTATAATCAAAGTGCTCCTTAGAAACAAAGACAGTGAAGCTTCATCACCCACACTTTGCACATGTTGAAAGAAGGGGCTATTCCTCAGGAAGGAAGACCGTCAATGAAATGGATACAGTGACTACAGAAATGGGCCCACGTATGCCAGAGATGATGAGGACGGCACAGGCTAGGGCAGGGTTCAGATCTGTTGTACACTGGGTCGCTAGGAGTCTTACTTGATTCAAGAGCATGTAACAACAACCACAACTCTGTGTGTCAGGGTGTACACTGTGCTCCCTAGGATCTTAAACGGCTGATAGTATTCGTAAGTAGACTGCAAGTAGATTGTAAGTAGATAGTATTCATAAATAGATTTTCCCCTTCAAATGCCTCTGGGTTAACTTGAATGAGCAATCTTCAGTTGGCAGGCTTGGAGGAAAGACCTTGTGAACAACTTTGGGACATATAGCCAGTGAAAACCCTATGAAGCACAGTTCTACTTGGACACATATGGGGGGGCCATAAGTTGGAATCCACTGACAGCAATGGGGTGGTTGGTTTTATCGTTATAGTGGATATCCCATAGAACGGTGGGCTACTGCACATTTCTTCCCAATGTTGTTTCCAGTGACAGTGTATTGGTAGCTTAAGATAGGCAGCAATCAGCTGCTGTTAACCAGGCTTCTTTGCCTGCTTTAAGAAAATTGGTATTTAAATGTTTAAACTTACTGCAAGACGCTATTACCAAATATTAGCAGTAAGTATTAAATATCATTAATGCACAAAAATAGAGGTCAGTGATATGTCTGTACTACTACTAGAAAATTCCTCAGATGCTTCATGCAGTGAGTCTGTGGTTAGTTGTTGTTAGGTGTCGTTGAGTTGAGTACAACCCATAGCGACCCTCTGAACAATAGATCTGAATCCTGTCCTGTCCTGTGCCATCCTCACACATCCTGACACACCAGAGCCCACTGCAGCAGTCTCCATGTCACTCCGTGTATATATGTGAGTCTGTAGTCTAAACTCTGAAGGAAGCGTGCTCTAAGTGGCTGCAAGAAGGAGAGAAATGTCTTCACGCTCTTCGCTAAGTGTAATCATCTTCAGCAGTTCCATTCAGCTCTGCTACCTGCTTGTGATTCAGTAACTTAAAAAAGGTGCATCAGGCATGCTACTCTGCCCCAAAGAGAAAAGTTCCACATTAATATTTAATGGCATTAACGGAAACATCACTGGCTGCCCTCAAGCTGTGGACTTCTTCATTAACTTCTGCTGAACGTATATTAAAATCTCTCACACTGCCCAGCCCTCCTCCCTCCCAGCTCTCCAGTCTGCCCACTTTCAACAAACAAGCACGTTGTAGCTGCTGTTTCAGCTTCCAGGGGGGAAAAAGTGTTCTTCTGTTGAACTGTAAGGTTTCAATTCTGTTTGAATGTTACCACAAAGTTTGACTTGCCTCAGGGAAATGTGCTGGCCATCGTTTCGGCTAATACACAAGCAGTTCCCTTCAAGAAACACAGTGCATTTATGACTCTCGCCATTATAAAAGGGCTTCCCTCACTCACATTTCCCTGGAGCTGGAACTCTGACTCACAGCTGATTCTCCAGTGGGTTTCTGGAGACTGTAAATCACATGAGAGAAGATTGTGATTTTTCTCCACGAAGTGCCTGGTGGATTAGAACTTCCAAGAGCCATCCCCTTTCAGTTAATAGAGGAATCCTCTGTGGACTCTGTCACCAGGGCTCCCCATAAAAGTACTGTTTCTAGGAACCCTAGTGCCTGTCCAAGAGCTTTGCATGTTTCTCCTCTGGATCCTATCCGGGGAAATTCTACACATAATTTAAACAAGAAAGAGACCAAAAAACTTCAGAAAGCCAAAAGTTCTCTGCACGTCAGAGCAGCAAAGGACACTGGCACTCTTTGGGTCCAATCCATTTAGGTGGAGATAGTAAAAAAGAAGTGTAAAGAGTAGAAGTGACTAGTCAAAGATTGAACATAGCTGATGGTGAGAAGAAAGGATGACGCTGAAGATCCCTGACTCGAGTCCAGTACAAGCACAATTCCATGAAATATCTACTTAATCATCAGAGGGGAGGGCTCTCTACACCTCAGGATTAACACTGAGACTCTTGGAACCACACAACAAGTTATTCTCTCTGCCGGTCCAGCTGCTTGGGCTTTCCAACTCTCTGGAAATCCAATACCCTATCATATCTGCATTGCTGCACCACCTTTCCTCCATCTGCCAGTTGAGATTCCAGGAAGGGGACTTCGGTACCATTCAGGGAAAGATTATAGCATCTGGGCTAGAAACAAATAGATGAACTCTTAGCAGGCATAGAGAAGGAACTTAACATAAAGAAATGGCAATAACAACAGATTATTAACATCATCATCATTTAACATAAATCTAAAGGCAATAATAGAAAAAGAAGGGTCATTACATCCAAATCACTCCAGAAATTACTTAGAACACCAAACACACATATTTTCTTAACCTAACTTCAGTACCTATGTGTTCTTAACATGCTTTCATCAAAAATCATGTCCTCGTGTCCATTCTGTTTGTTATCATGCTGGTGGATTCTAACTGCCCATCTCTGAGAAGTGCTGCCCATTCTCCTTGTTCTTACTCAGTAGAGTCTACACAGCTCCAAACACTTCCTCCCGGGGGGAAGTCTTCTATGATGACTATGCTAGTACTTAGTCCAAGAAAACTTCATCGGATGATAGCAAGCTCAAATACATGCACGATCCAAAATTATAGTCAACAAACATATTTTACTATTGAGTCTTGAAATGTGCTTTAATACACTTGAGAAAATTCATTTTTAATTTTATGCAACATTCATTGTAATGCATATAATCACATGTGGCTAGTGGCTACTGCATTGGGCAGCTCAAGTATGGAGTATAAGATCATACTTAATTCTTTTTTATGACCATTCCTTGAGCATAATGTCTTTGGTTTTTTACATCTTCCCTCCCCCTCAATGCCTATTCTACAGAGAAACATCCTTGCTTACGCAGAATATGATAGGTTGGATCGATTTCAGACAGGCTTGCATTCCTGTGCTATACACCTTTACTGCTCTTCTCCTATGACTTCTTCTTTTATCTGATAAAATTCCTCTGAGCGTCTGACACAAGGTTGACCATGGAAGGCAACTACTAAGCCATACTACTAGTCAGGCTTCTAGAGTCAAAATCTATCTTGAGTGAGAGAGTCATTCTGAGGTCAATTTCTTTACTTTCAAAATGTCTATAACTGACTCTCCTTCCACGAGTGGATGAGAAGTTTAAGACAATCCATCTCAAAGCTCTGATACAATGATTGGTACATAACAGATATTCAATAAAAACTATCACTGTGTCAGTGGTCGAGTGTGTGAGTGAGAAATTATGAGGCTTAACCTCTGGCGCAAGTGGGTTCTCATTGAGCAAATGTATTTGGCCCTTTCAGAGAGTTCCTGGAAGCTCTCACGTGGCTTCAGATAAGATCCCTTTTACTCCCTTTTCTGATTTGCCTTTTCCTGAGAAACTTCATTCGCAAGGAGAATTGGTTCCTGGTATCTCACTAGCACCATGGCGGAGG